TACTACTACTACTACTACTACTACTACTACTACTACTACTACTACTACTACTAATAATAATAATAATAATAATAATAATAATAATAATAATAATAATAATAATAATGGTGATGGTGATGGTGATGGTGATGGTGATGGTGATGGTGATGGTGACGATAATAACAATAACAACAACAACAACAATAATAATAGATGTGCAAATGGGAAAAATATCTGCACCATCGGTAGAAGGGACTCGGATGGGACGGGGACGCTGGATAAGGAGGAAGGATAGCAGTACTACCGGAATAAGCCATTATTTAGGAAACAGGTGCCCGCCTTGGGTAACGTGTTCATATATTTTTTTAAAAATGGATGTGGTTTATGGAACCGCTGCAACGGACCTGTGAGCTAAGTGATGGGTTTGTTGTTTTTTTAAAAATGGGATTTGCAGGCAGATACAGTAAAGGGGTTCTTGCTCTGAAGGGGATGATGTGCTACCTTTTTTAAAAAAATCAATAGTAATAGAAAGGTGTTTCTTCCCCCACCCGCCTCCCAGAGCATCAGTGAATCCAAATGAAAGGTAGCCATTATGGTTCAGGGTTTACTAGGTGAAAAAGAGAGAGCCTTATCTTTTAGAATAAAGAATACTATGAAGTAATATTAAAACTAATAAAAAGGTTACAAAGAAATAAGCATACTTTGGAATTTATTAAGACTTCTCATGGGGCTGGTCCTTAAGGAGGGGAGCAATACACAATCCTGTGGCTCAGCCAAATGAAAAATAAAACCCTTATCTGTACAAACTGTAAGGCAATGTTTTTTTTTAAAAAAGTCAGGCCATATAAAAGAGAAGAAAATTTCTGATGGCAAAAAAAATTGCAGTCAGCCCATCTTGTGAAAAGATACAATCTTCACATCTGTTGCTGGAAGCATGGTACAAATTTTCTTGTTTTACTGTTATGATATAAGGAGAGCATGGAAGGTTTAGGACAATGGTCCCTATGCTTAGCCCTTTGGAAATAGTAATAAGTTTGAGGAGAGAAGGTGTAGACAGGAAGTAGGTTAATCATTATAATTGTGAGAGGCTCCACCAGGACAAATTTAGGTCACTTTTAATGGGAGGTGTACACCTTAAAATCTAGGGAGAAGGAAGAGAAAGTGATATTTGTTTCATATTCTGTTCTTAACGTCCGCTCTAGATGGATACATTCAAAACATCTCACAAACAGAACAAGTCTTAGAAGGATGGACTATGTAATTTAAGATGAAATAAATGGCTGTGGCTCATTAAGATCCATAAGGCTTTCTTCCAAGATTTGTGCAGTTTTGGGACACTGATGTCTGTTTTCTCAGAGGCTGTTTTTTTTTTAAACCCACTTTAATGGTTAGAATAAAAGTCTTTGAAAAAAGAGTTATTGGTACCAAACAAATCTTTCGCCTATCCCCACCTCCTATTCTTTGCTGTTGATTTTGGATCTTTCCCAAGCAGAGGCCGCACTGTAAATGGACTTTTCGATTCAGTGGAAAACATGCAGGCATCATGTGACTCATCTAAATGGATGATGGGGCTTAATGAGCTTGGCTGCTGGTTTGTGTAGCAAGCGGAGGAGACCAGAGGCTGCAAAGTACATTTTTAAAAAGCCTCATAGCCTGTAGTTCTTGTCTTTTTTAATGGAACTCCAAGTGTTGTGGGGTACAATTGCTGAACTTAAAGGATAGTAATTTGTAGTGTACAAGTTTTGCTGTTATTAGAATGTCTTTTAAAAATTACTGGGTTTTTTTCTGAGATTAGTTCTAGGATAGGTTATGGATAATAACTTTCAGAATCTTCCAGCAAATATAACTGCTTGAAAATATCCTTTCCAGGCTCTGGGAACTGCACATGGTTTAAAAGCCATTTTCCAGTCTGGAAGAAACTAAGATTCAATGGTAGAATTCAGACACGCAGCTTCTGAAGCTCTAGAAGTGTTAGTTCTCCCAGAAACAAACAAAAAGATTTACTACTTTGGTGTATAAACAGGCACAGAAACCTGGAAGATGTCTTAGTTTTAAAACAGTGTTTAGTTGGAGATTTAGCTTGCTCACATGCTCCAAGAATTTGGAATGTTCTATCCAGAAAAACCTGAAAACCTTACATTACATAAGGGATAGTGTTTATGTTGATTTCCTCCTGGGGACAATGTTACACATTTGTTTTTATTGATCAAAGCCTTCATGATCCACAGGCTTAATTATAGTTTCAGTGATGTAGATTTAGGATCCTCCAGGAGCAAAACACAGAAGAAACATTTCTTCCTCCCTTTTAAAAGTTTTGTGTTGAGGGAAGGCTCTTAGTGTGTTGAACTGAATTTGTTATTTCTAGCAGTTATAAACTGCAATCAAACATCAAAATGTTAAAAGTACAGTATTATTGTTCCTTTGTTGTTGCTCTTGGGTAGCTCTTGCCCTTGAAGGGGGAGACCCAGCCTCTCAGGTATCTCCAGCATTAGATAAGAGCACGAAAGGAGATGAGTTGCAGACATCCTTGGAGAGGCTGAGCATCCTCTCATGCCTTCTCATGAACCCCTGAAACAGAAGGAGGACTACGCCACCTCTAGAGCTGGCATAGTTTCCTCTTTCATTGGCATTCATGAGAGAGAAACCTTTTAAGCATCCGGAAATAAACTCTGGGAAAAAAATGCTATTTGTTCTCGAGGGCTTTGAATAAGGTGGCACTCTTACCCTGGGATCTCCCTGTCCTGATGGTAGGATTTCTCTGCTCCACTACTATCTTTAAGCAGACAAATTTCCTTGAAGGGAAAAGGACATAACTTTTGACTGAATAGATGTAGAATTGAATTGTGATTTTTCATTGATTCTGGTGGTAAAGCAAGGACATGCTTAACTTTCTCACAGATTTCAGTGGGATTTAAATACTTTCACTTTGTGTGGATCATGTTCACTGTATTTAGGCTTTGATTTGAGAATGAAGTACCTTCATTGCTTTGCTGTCTACAGAACTAGTTATGTCCTTCTACAGAGTAACATCCTACATAAGTTGCCTGATGATCCATGGTTCTGTCTCCAAACAGAGCAAATTAACAAATCAACTCACAACAATATAGTGACATATTTTAAGGTCTAATTTTCATCCTTCATATTCCTTTCCCAACATTACTGTATTTTTTTCTGTAAAATGTGACTTTCTTACAAATATATATATTTTTAAAAAGTGTATGGAAGGAGAAATCCCATTAATCTAAATTCAGTTTGGAGTAATACTCTCCACTGTTTTTCGAAGCATGCTTATTTGGAACAACTTAAGTCTACAGTGGTGCCTCGCTTAGCGATCGCTCCGTTGAGCGACGAAATTGCTTAGCGACTAACTGCAATTGCAAAAGCGATCGCTTTGCGATGGTCCCTATGGGGTTTTTTCGCTTTGCGATGATCACGGGGAAGCGAGGCACCACTGTATATGACTTACTACCAAATAACTGTATTAAGTATTTGTGTGTGATTAAACCTCTGTCCACCTGCTGGTATTTGTAGGTGATACATATAATATTCCAGCACTAGGGTTATGCCATTCCTTGGTCTGTTTTTTTTTGTTCGGTTTTATTTATTTTGATTCCCACTCTCTTAATTTTCCAAGAATTCCCCAGACAGAATTCTGGGAGTTTCTGCTCACAGATGCACACCTATATTTCATTCACCTCAAATAGACACAGTTTTCCAGGCTGTCTCAGACCTACTTCTTGTACAAAAAAAAGGAAACCGCCCCAATGCTTCCTTGGAGGCGTAGGTCTTTGAGGTAGGTAGGTGTTGTTCTTTGTGGTCTAATGGGCAACAGGATTACACCTTCAACAAAAACCTAGGCCTCCCTGGAAGAATTTGGGCAGATTCCTTTCTGTACAGGAAGTAGGCCTGAGACAACCTGGAAAAATAAGGCCTTTTCCAGGTGAGTGAAATGTTTGTACACATGTGTCTGTGGGCAGGAATTTCAAAATTCTGCCTGGGGAATTCTTGGAAAATTCTGGGGATTGGCATCCAAAAATATCGAACAGCACCCCCGTATCCCTGTCCAACATGTCTGAAGGAACCAGATTGGATAGAGTTGGTGTAATTTATTACTTAGATTTGCCACACTTGCTGACAGAGAGGGAAAAACCCACTAATTAACTGAGCAACACTATGTTGTTATTTTGCTGAATGAAACTTGAAGTTTTCCTCCTATTTGAAGAGCTACCCTGTCCACGTTCCGTTTAAAGATTTCGTTTTTTAAAAAATAATAAACACATGAGAAAAGTAAACAGAAGCCTTGAAATTTGCCCAGCCACGGTGATCACATAGATCAGCTGTTGATTGTTCTCTCCAATATGGCAATGTGTTGCTTTTCTATTTAAGTCATTTTGTCTAAAGTCACACCTGTACAGATATGGAGTATCACAAGCAGATTGTGACCGTCATCTGGTGAGAGGGAGGAAGGGAAGAAAGAGAGAGATGGTTAAATGATTATCCTTAGGGATTCCCCACTCTCATATTGGGAGGACCATTTTTCTCAGACTACAACAGAGGACCCGATTTAACTCCTTATTTATGCTCTTCTGATCTCATAATCATCAGTCCCTTTTTTAACATGATTATTTAATTTGGCCCTGAATCTGACCCAGAGAGCGAATCTTAATCATTACTGGATTTACTAAGTTCTCTACTAACCCCTAAACTTCCTTTTCATATGATTCAGATCATCCTTGTTACAGGCATTTTCCCTTGTGATTAATTCATCAATTATATAACATTTGAATGCTGTGGATTTCTTCTCAGCCTTATCAGCCTGACTAAAGAGTACAGGACACAGTGTGTGCCCCATACTTTCTGTCAAGCTCTGGCCTCTGGTAGTGTGCATAGAGGAGGAAAGGAAGGAAAAGATGGACTTCCCTTTTGTTTGGGTGCAAATATGTTGAAAGCCAGCAAGGTGTAATAGTTGAAATGTTGGACTAGAACCGGCGAGAAGCTAGTTAACTCTGTGCAGCTGAAAAACTTAACTGTGTGATTTTGGACCTGTCACGGTTGCTTAGTTTACATTAGAGGGCTGTTTTAAGGATAAAGCAGGACATAACTGCCTGTAGTACATATTCTGCTCCCTGCAGGAAGGGTGGTATATATGCAGTCAATTAACACTGTATTATAGCTGACACAAGATCATGACTCACCTATGCTCAGTTGGTCAGCCCATTGCCCTGATAATACCGGATTCCAAACCTTAAATCAGTCCTCTAACTTCAGAGCGTTGTCATTCTATAACTTGGTTATGAAGTTATGATAACAACTTTATTACCAGATGTTTTGTCCCACATAACATAGTCCAGATCTTTGGGGAAATCTGTCTTGTACTGCCTTCTGTGGGATGGAACATAGCAGAGTGATGCAAGAGATGGTGTTCTTCTTGGTAGTATCATGTCTTTGGAATGCCCTCCTCTCAGAAGTACACCCGGCTCCAGCCTTACTATCATTTTAGAAACTGGCTGAGACTTTCATGAGTTGAAAACGGTTTGGCTCTGGTGTGCATTAAGTAATTGCCAATCAGAATTTTGCAGACAGCCAAGTCCTGTTCAGGTACTGTATTAGGGTCCTAGTTTTATTGAGCACATGAAAAGAAGAATATCTCGAAGGAGGCATGTCTGAAGAGGAAAGATCTACCGTATTTTTCGCACCATAAGACACACTTTTTCCCCAGAAAACAGGGGGGTGGAAAGTCTGTGCGTCTTATGGAGCGAAGAAAACAGATTATATTTTCCTGTTTTCTTCTCCTAAAAAATTGGTGCGTCTTATGGAAAGGTGCGTCTTATGGAGCGAAAAATAAAGTAGTTTGTATGCGGGTTTTCCATAGGAGCAAGAGCCCCAGAAACCCATTCAGCTTCACTGGACAGTTCCACATTCTAATTCATCCACACAGCATTAATAATTTTATGCACCCTGGTTTATGCTATTTGTTATTCTGAGGCTGAATAAGAGAACATGTTTGGGCTGTACAGTAGTACAACGAACAGAATTGCTCACTATACTTTGATTACAGCTTTGTAATGGAGACATCTCATTGAATGTCTTTTGTTTCAGTGAATTTCAGTGAACCGCTATTGCCATTTAAACTCAGGGCTTCAAATAAATGAAATGATGCAGTATTGTAACACTAGAGGTACTGCTGCTTAATGTATAGTTTATGCTAAATGTTTGTTTTGAATGTGTACAGTTCTCCTCCCTAAATTTCCATTTGTCAGGAAGCCACTAATTCTTTTTTTTCGCCAGACTCGGTCATTACTGAGTGTATTTGAAGAAGATGCAGGAACGCTTACAGACTACACGAATCAGCTGTTGCAAGCAATGCAGCGCGTCTATGGGGCTCAGGTATATATATATTTGTCTATGTACACTTAGGTTTTTCCCCTTAATATAACTAATCGTTTTTATTTGGTTTTCTTAACTCTTAATCCTGAAAACAAACAAGCAGAAACCCTTCCTCTCTATAAACAACAAGAACAAAATCCTAATGCTAACTACAGTTACGCTCCTCCACTATGATTGTTCATCTTTACTTTGGTTCAAGTTAGCATAAGAAGAAAGCATCCTCTCCATAAGACAAATATTCTGGGCATGTTAGAGAGTTCAAATTTTGATTTACCACAAGGAGATACCTATGTATCTTTTGCCTTGTATGCATCTTCTTGGTGGCAAGGCAGAGTTAAACTGCAAAAACATTAATTAACCGTTGTTTTCTGTTTCATGTGAACTATGATTATTAAGATTATAATAAAAAGTTTGGAGCAAGCCTGCATCTTAAACCACACTTCAAAGTTGATTTAATATCCAGATTTTTTCCAAAGCTGGTAATCATCTTTTTGGCTGGAAAGGGAACCTGCAATTAGTTACAAGGTTTTAAATTTAATTGTGGTTTGTGTGAAGGGAGGAGCAAAGAGACTGAAAGCAGGACACCCTTTTCTTATGCATGGCTTGGTTCAATCAATAAAGGTGCAAGCACTTGAACTAGACCACCATTTTGCTATGTCTTGTTCTTCCGCGGCTTAATTATTAATTATTTATTTATTACAAGTATTTGTAAGTACATTTCTGCTCATCAGGGTTGCCAAAGTAATGTACAATAAAGCCACAATATAAAAACAGAACTGTAATATATACCTGGCTTCTCTCTGGAGGAGGTTCCACAGTGAGAGTGCTGCATCTACAGCACTCTTAGAAGGCATCAGCCTTCTAAGGGCAGGAAGACACAACGGAGCATCAAGATCTCAAATTGTGGGTGTGTTTATACATCAAGAGGTGGGCTTTCAGATATCTTAAACCCAAGCTGTCATAAAAAATCTCAGATTCTATTATTTTCCTTTCTTTTCAAGTATTGGAGGTACATTTTTGATGGATTTGTAGTTGAATCTCCATTTATATGTTACATGGGCACTGGAATTTCCAAAGCTTAGTGTAATACCTAGTAAAGCTCCATGTGTTGTGGTCCAGGTGCAACAGTCTTAATCCATTATGAGGGTGGTTTCTGTGCACTTTCTTATTTCACAGGCCGTGATAAGAAACTTCCCATGATCTGTTAAGCCACTATTTTGTTTTATACTTATTCTTCGTGAAATGTCAGTATCATTTGAGTGTTTCAATGTTCGTTTGTAGTCACAGATTAAACCTGTTTCCCACTTAGGATGGCATAGGAAACTCTGGTTTGAAAAACCCTGCAAGCTTTCTGTTTCAGGGGAGGGTGTGTGGACAAAACTCATGATCCAAGATTGTAGCATCATGTGCTTCTGGCCTCATTGTGTAAATACTGGCTATGCCTCTTAGAGTCAGAGTATATATCATGAGGAAGATCTGGGAATAGGATTGCCCATTGTTTTTTTTTTCATATGTCTATTAGCAACTAGAATTGGGTGTGTTTGCAGTTGCATCACTAAGTGGAGGGATAATATTTGCATATCCTGTATTACTATGCAAATTGCAGCTTTGCGAGGGTCAGAATTTTTCAGTAAGCAAGTGACTTGCAGTGAAAGAAACCCCACCACCACCAGGGATGTGGTCTTAATTTAAGTCTCAGCTTCACAACTTGCAGCACAGATACCATTAATGGTTGAAAAAAAAGTGCCAGCTAGCCTGTTCGCATTACATCTAGGCTGCTCCTTAAAGTTCTTGTCTTCTTCAGTGGAAGAATGTCCTCATTGTAGTTTTATCGGCAAGTCAGTGGGTACTTATATGTGTATTAGTGGTTTGATTTTCCACTTTGGTCCTCTAGTTGATTTGCACTTCATCTCCCATAACCTTTACCATTGGCCATGTTGTTTAGGCTTTCCAGGAAATGAAGTCCAAAACAGATGGAGGACAAAGGCTGAAAACCACTGATCTAACTATAATAGAATGATCTCAGGTTTCCATAAAGAGAGGCACACCGGAGGGTTGGAATGCCTTTGGCGTTCCAGGGGTTTTGGACTATACTCTTAGAAGCCCAGGGGTAAGGGATTATGGGAATTCTAGTCCAGAGTGTCTGGAGGTTCCTCATTACATTGCTACAGCAATAGTAACATAGCCAGGAGTCCCCTTCAAATAAGCATAACCTCCCTCCCTTTCCTAGGATTATGTATGTAGAGGCATTAGCACGCTCTGTCTCAACTTCAGCAAGGGTTTTAGATTGGGAGGTGTAACACATAGCTAAGTGTTACATCAGCTCTCTTAATGCCTGATGGAGTGTCTGGAGCTCAGCACTTCATGGGGCACACCTTCCTGCCATTCTTCTTTGTTCACACTCATCTTCCAGAAGCTACAGGTGTGGCACAGTCATCAGAAGAATGGTCTGTTTACATCCTAAAAATGATGCATGAGGTTTAATAGTGTTTTCTTAACTTTAGTGGTTGTTTGGATAAAGTGGGCCAGGTGAACTAATTGTAAAGTGCAGGATCACGCCATCTATGAGCTCTGCTAATTTTCAGAATTGCAGCAGGTAAGATTATTATGTTTGCCTTTCTAGCCGACTCTGTGTTAGAGTACAAAAATAGGTGTGCTGAAACAGCCATCAGTTAAATATCAACAGGAGTGAAATGGCAATGATGGCTGCAGAACTACAGATAGTTGCATAAAAAGGTGTGTGTTATTTCAAGACCAACCGCCTTGGCTTCCCGCACGTAGCAGCCTCTTTGATCTTTTGAACATGGAAGTGATTAAAACAAAGCGGTGATCAGAGGTGTTGGCAGTGACCTCATAATGAAGGGCAGCTATTCATAAGTCAGCCTTTGGGCAGCCACAGCTTGCTTTGAAAAATAAACAGTGATCTACATGTTGTACTTGAAACATGTTTAGGGGCAGAAAATATATTCGCTAAATTATTGGGTCTTACTGAGTTTTGCTCTCTCAGGGTGAAATTCTAAAGGCCTGGAAGATTCCTTGCTTCAAGCCTGAGTTGAGACAATGAGCTCACTTCTCCCACTTTAGGGGCAGAAAATATATTCGCTAAATTCTTGGTTCTTACTGAGTTTTGCTAAGGGCCTGGAAGATTCCTTGCTTCAAGCTTGAGCTGAGACAAGGAGCTCACTTCTCCTAGTCTTTGTAATTTGTGTGAAATGCCTCTGGTGTCCTTTTTCTTTGATAAACGAAGCACAGATATGTACAGAAGAATGGCAGATTGTTAAGAAAGAGGCAAACAACCCATTGTGTGCTTCAGATTCTTATATAAAGCTGCAGCCAGCCTAATTTGGGACAGTTTGCACAAAACGTAGCAATATTTTTGTACAAAAAATCTTTGCCAGTGTGAGAACTCTGTCAACATGGAATTTCAGCAACTTCCTCACTGAAGATAAGCGGGGACTTGTATCCCCAAAAACACTGTCTCTAAATCGAGTTACGATTAAAATATGTAACATTATATTTTGGTTGTCTTTGTAAAAAAAATATTTGGAGATATTGTTCTCAATCTAAAGAAAGAAGGACTGAATTGTATTGGCTTACATGATTGTATATGTCTAAGGACATCTCAGTAATTGAACTGCAGAGGAAAAGGAGGCCTTTTTAATGTGGAATATGGCACCACTTTGTTTTAAACAGCCCATGTAATTCTTAATTGGAGGCATCGTATTTTGCTCTGCAACTTAAGCGCGGAGCTTTTGCAAACCAAAGACTATCAGTGATGTCAAAATACTGTGGTTTTACAGTAATTTGCGTCTGTAGGTCACAGTATAACCAAATCACAGCAATCAAGTCACAATGGCTGATTGTGGTAGAACTCTCTCTCCTCCTTTGGCATAGTCATGAGGATGAGATTAGAAGCAGTGTTTGTAGGCAGAGTGTGGGAAGTTTTCTTTTGGAAACTACAACTCCCATAATTGCCCAGGTTAGCATGACAAAGTAGGTGGGAAAGGAGAGAAAATCGTTATTTTGTAGTGGAATTCTTTTGCCCTCCTTTTTTTCTGCAGTCTTTTCCAACATCTATAGTGCAAATAGCAGCTAACAGCTAATAATAATATATGCTATAATCACAGTTTTAGAATTTCATGTATTTGAGGGGCTGGGAGGAAAGATAGCAATGTTGTCTTAAGGTGGATTAAATGTATCCTTGTGTTCTTGCCTTAAGGTGCAGAAATGTAGTAATTTATGTATTTATTCTACATTATATTTTGAGGGAGAGAGTGAGAGAGATCCCGGGGGGGGGGGCAAAGGCACTCTGTGGTCAACATCCAGTTAGTTGCACCCACTGGCATAACACAATTGATGTAGCTCTGGATGGTGAATTGGTGCAAGTTAAAATGTAGTGTAGCTTTTACAGTTTGCCAACTCAATGTCAATTGAGTTATGCTGGCATAAACACTCTGTGAGATTTTGAGCTGTGTGTAGAATGTGCAGTCTGTTGGGATATATTGGTGTTCTTGGAAATGATGATGATGATGTTATAATCAGCTGAAGATCTCTGAAATAACACCATAAGAGCTGCAAAAACAGGGATATTAGGAATGACATACATATTACACTGATATTTAACTGATACTTAGGGGTTTTTTTTGTTAAAACTTGTAGCTATTATAGAACACCAGTTACTGTGTTTTGTATTTTTAACAACCACAGTACCAGCATGCATGCATGCATGCATTCTATCAGTTCTGACTTTTGGCAACTGTTTTCTAGGTTTTTTTTAGATAGAGAATGCTGAGTGGTTTACCCTTCCGTTCTTCTGGTGGCGCCCTGGAGCTGTGCAGGTTGCCCAAGGCCACACAGATTGTCTTTTCTAGCATGCACAGTGGGGGAACTGAACTTCCAGCCTCTGGCTCTGCAGTCAGATGCCTAACTCACTGAGCTATCCAGCCAGTACAGTGTATTAAGAGAAACAGAAGGGATAGGAACTTTCCTCCCTTCTCTGTGGTGGTCATGAGAAATTAAAGGATTGGGCTACAATCTTTTACACCCTTACTGGAGATTAAGCCTCCATGGTTTGGTTTTTAGCAGATGCAGAGCTACTGTATAAGCCTTCCAGCGTGTGTGATCTTTCAGTAACGAAGCATCTTTTCTATTTCTAGAATGAAATGTGCCTGGCGACACAACAGTTGTCCAAACAGCTTCTTGCGTATGAAAAACAGGTATGCATCCTGAGCATATTACAGGTTTGATAGGTTAGATGTTAGAGACGAAAAGACGATCTGCTCAGTTTTCTCTGAAATTTGTTTGGTCATAATTAGAGATGGGCACGAATCTCAGTTAGGAGGTTCATGCCGGTTCATACGCACAGCACCACAGGTGCTGCAGAACCTCAGTTAGGAGGTTCATGCCGGTTCATACACACAGCACCATAGGTGCTGCGGAACCCCCGGCCAATGATCCACTCACTAGTCAGATCGCGTTCCTCTCCTCATCTTTGGCTGTTTGAGCAGTCCCTGGCAGGAGCATGGGTTTACCTGTCCTGCCTCCTTGTCTGAGTGGGCAATCAGCCAAGGAGGTGAAGCAGGGAGGCCCGTGCTCCTCCCGGAGACTGATCGAATAGCCGAAGAGGAGGAGGAAAGAAGTGTGTGCTGGCTGGTAAGTGGTGGTGGGGATTCTGCCAGGGAGGGGAACGCATGGCACCACAAACTGGCACAAATCTCTGAATCAAGGTTTGTGCCCATCTCTAATTATAATTGTAGAGCTATTACTGGGACAAACTTGCTTTGACTTCTTTTAGCAGCCCTTTCCAACCTGTCACTCTTCAGGTAGTATTCGATAGACCTGTGTTGTTTGGGGTTTTTTAAATTTGTTTGTTTTGTTTTTGGAAAGTCCATCCATTCGGGCAGTTCTGCTTCCTAGACTCACACCCAAATTGTGCTCGCCTAGAGAAACGCTGGGCTTCATGGCCTGGGATAGGCCGAGCTCCAGCCTAGGTGCTTGTTAGGAAACCAAAGTTTCCCTGGTGCTTGCTGTCAACTCCCAGCGACCACCTGGGCAGCTTCTTTCCCCTGCAGCAGACCAGGCCTGACCAGCCTCACAAAGTGACGGGTAGGTAGATTGCAGGGGGAAAAAACTGGGAAGGCCCTTTACAACATCACTTTCTCACCTTGGGTGTGTATCGTCCATTAAGGTTCTCCTTTTAAACCCTCAGCGTACTTGATACCGTCAAGTGAAAGCTTTTTGTCCCCTCATGAATTTCAGCTGTTTACTGCTTTGGAGAAAGTGGGCTAGAGTAGAAGCTGCCTGTAGATTTTCTAAGGCTGAGATGAGAGAGCTTTTCCTCATCCCTCTTCACTCCATCAGATGCCGCTGCCTGTTTTACTTTGTCCCCGTAGAGTTCTATGGGAACCACTGAAAAGCAAGCCCCTGACTCTTTTTTTGCTTTGCAGAACTTTGCTCTGGGAAAAGGAGATGAAGAAGTGATTTCCACCCTTCAGTATTTTTCCAAAATTGTGGACGAGGTAATCAAAACAGCTAGCAAAAGTCTCCTTAGATGGTACATTTCTGTTTATGTCAATGAAACTATTCTGCTTGGGATTAGCAAAGGAGTTGGAGGAAGGAATCCTGTTTGTGCTTTCCACAGAAATAGCTGTGTTAATCATTTTTGCAACAAAAACAACAAAGACAGGAAGCATGCAAGCACTTTGCATCTCTGGCAGGTGTCAGTTATGCAACTAGTTGCAAAATTGGTCATGCAACAGGCATTTTGCCAAAGGATGCAGACCACTTGTTCAATTATTGTTGCATACATTTTTCCCCTAATAGGGTTCTGTCTGAAGAGTATTATGGTACTTTAAAGACCAACTAGTTTTATTTGGCACAAGCTTTCATGGACTTGAACCCATTTCTTTAGATGTATTGTTTTCTGTTACAGTATGCCATAGAAAAGGGCTGTCATTCTGCAGAAAAAATGGAGAGAAGAGTGTTCTCATGTCCCAGTACTTAATTTATCAGTTCTTGCTACATTTACAAAAAGGCCTTGTAGTACCTGTGATGGCTGCCAAAAACATTATGGCATTAGCTTGTGTGGCCAAAATCTGTTTCATCCAATGTGTGCAAAAGAGTTTATGCATTTTATTCTTACTTTAAAAGATCAGCCTACTCTGTGGTATTTCTCTCTCTGCAAATGATGTACTGTATACACCTATGCATATTGGCTGAAGATAAATGTACAGTGGTGCCTCGCTTAACGGGCGCCCCATTTAACAACAAAATCGCATAACGATGAGGATTTTGCGATCACTTTTGTGATGTTCCCTATGGGGAAAAAATCGCTTTGCGATGATTGGTACCCTGTTTTGCTTACCAATCATCGCAAAGCGATGATTTTTTAACAGCTGATCGGCAGTTCCAAAATGGCCACCGGGTAAAAAACATGGCCGCCAGCTATGTTTAGGGACGGATCTCGCTTACCGGGCACCCAAAATGGCTGCCGTATGGAGGATTTTCGCCTAAAGGTACGTTTTTAGCCCATAGGAACACATTAAACAAGTTTTAATGCATTCCTATGGGCTTTTTTATTTCGCATAGCGACGAAATTGCTTTGCAGTGATTTTTGCTGCACGGATTATTGTCGCTATGCAAGGCACCACTGTATTCTAGTCCCTGAATGTTTATGCCGTGCTGCGTTTATTTTTAAGGAGCCAAAATGCTATATCTTTCTCTGCCTGCAATTGGCTAACATGGCTACTACTCTGGAAACTTAAAAATAATGCCTTCAAATATTCACCAACACGTTAATTTGAAATTGACAATAATTAGAGCCAGCTTTTTCAAATAAGTTTTTGGCTCTGAAGTGTTATGCATACAAATATATTAAAGCCAGTTCCAGATACGTAGAGTTCTTTCTTGCCTTGCCTTTTGTCCTCAGAAGGCTCTCTCAGATTTCTCTTAAAAGTTACAGAGTATATCCAGCTATGTGACAACAGTCAGGGTGTCTTCCCTTTCTCCAACCAGCTTACATCTGCACTCCGGAGGCACAAATTATATCTTCCGCTAGTATGGTCTCAAACAATTTCAGCTCCCATTAGTCTAGCAGACAATGAAGGCTGACATCTGGGCTCCCATATCTCTTTTACTGCTGGTTTCTATAGCTTAAGCATGCTCAATCAAGACCCATATCAACTCTGAGTGTGATGGACATATCAACTCTAAGCGTGCACTGCTTATAGAAACTCTAGAAACATATATAAATATATTACCAGTTAACTCTCATTGTTTCACCCAGAGGATCCTGGAACCTGTGGATTAGCGAGAGTGCTTATTCTTCCATTCCCTTGCTCCCTTATGGCTGCTTCATTAGCTTGGTAAGAGGGAATGATTATTGAACTAAGTGAAGTCTATGCCACAGAGTTGTCCCTTGCTGAAGGGCAAAAAGCTCATACTGGTTCAGGGGTATGTTTCCAGAAAAGACTTCTACCATTCTTTAAATAAATGATTTGCATGATCTTTACTGAAGCATAGAAGGGTGAGGGTTTCTGCTGTTCCTGAGGCGCTACATGATCATATCCAAATATTCATGTCCTGGCACCCCCCAGCCCTCCTGTTTTGAACTAGTGCACGTTAAGGGCTAAATCTAATCCCAGCTGCAGCAGATCCCCTTCAGTCAGTGGACTTAACGCAAGTATTAGCTTTACTAAGTTCCATTTATTTAATGGGGCCTGCTTTCGTTGAGACCAACAACTGGGTTTAGCTCAAAAGAAATACTTAAAGGAACAGTTTCTTCATCTTCTCATCATGTCTTCATTCCAAGCCACACTATAAAACCAATAATAATTCTTCATTTGGACTTTAAATGGAATCTCATGGAATTTACATGTTTCTTCTTTGAAGAGACTGAAAACAGCTCTTTTGCTTTAGATTGTTTTAAAACTAGAACACAAGAGAAGCAGGCTAGCATGGGAAAGAAAGTGAGGTTTGCTGAGTAAATATAACCATTGAAGTTACTTTTAGCTGCTGAGCCTCTCCTTAGGTAAACTCCTTAATCATAGGGAAGGAATATGTTCATGCTGAACTGAAGTGGAAGCCTCTGTTTGTCAGCCCAATGGCTAGTTTTGAGATGAGAAATCCAGACTTGTTCACTTGAAATTTAATTTTTGATATTGTGGTTATTACTAATCTCCATCCAAAAATACCAATGTTTATTTGTCGGACGTTGTTGAACAGGTGTGGAAGATCTGTTTTTTAAGCATGAACACAGTTTGATAAAGCAGTTCAGATTGATATGCTCCTCATATAAGTATTTTATAGCAAGAATTAAAACACAGTTGTGTTATTATTAGAGACTTATTGTGGCTTACTAGTGGTCTTAATTGACTAGATAGGCGGGATATT